ATAGCTACAAATTGTACTTCCGTAGCAAATTTCCGTAGTTATTTCAACTTTTTCTTGTAGTCGATAGAGGTAGGGATTGGTGGGATTCAGTTGGTGACTCTTTGGGAGTCTCAGCCATTGAGACTATGACTTGGTCAGACTTTGTAGCTCGGTTTAGGGCATAGTTCGCACCGGCTGTGGAGCTCCAACAATTGGCCAGGGAGTTCCTCGACATAAGACAAATGACAGAGACAATGGCGGAGATTACCGCGAAGTTTCTGGGAGAGGGCCTTGTTGGTGCCTCGGTATACGAGAGATGAGGAGATGCGGAAAAGCAGCTATCATGACATCTTGAGAGATGATATTCAGGAGCATGCTAGATACTCAGCATGCCCGACTCTGGATTCTATGATTTCCAAGGCAAGGGAGAGGGAGATTAACTTGGAGCACATATGAAAGAGGAAGGAGGAAGAGGGGAAGGTAAATGGGGTTTCAGGGAAGAAACCCAAGGGATTTGACGCTAGTTGAAGGGCCATCAGGGCCAGAGCTGTTGTGGGATGTGTGGCAAGCTGCACGAGGGGGTGTGTAGATTAGGTTCATCAGGCTGCTATAAGTGCAACTAGGTTGGGTACTTTGGCAAGGATTGTACTGCCACTACTCCCATATTCCATACTTCAGATATCATTTGCTTCCATTGCAATGCTCCTACCATGTTCATGAATCTCAAGAACGCGTGTGCACACCGATGCTGGATCGGTCTGTGATAGTTTTCATTGAAGACATCTTGGTTTATTCCATGATGCAGGAGCATCATGAGGAGCACCTGTGAGAGGTTTTGGATACCCTGATGAAGGAAATCGTGTACGCAAAGTTCTCCAAGTATGAGTTCTAGTTGTACGAGGTGCAGTTTCTTGGGCACCTTGTCAACCAGAATGGTATTCTGGTCGACCCGGCCAAAGTAGAGGTCGTGGTGAGATGGTATATTCCGACGTCTCCTTCTGAGATTCAGAGTTTCCTAGGATTGGCAGGCTATTATCAATGATTCATTCAGGACTTCTCCAAGATAGTCGTACCCTTGACCAGGTTGACGAAGAAGGTCATGGTTTTTCATTGGGGGCTTGAGCAGAAGGTAGCGTTCAAGACATTGAGGCAAAGGCTATGTAGTACATCGATCCTCGCACTGCCAGATGGCATGGAGGATTTGTGGTATACTGCGATGTGTGCATCTCGGGGTTGGGCGCAATACTGATGCAGAGGGGGCCTGTTATCGACTACGCCTCAAGGCAGCTGAAGCCTCACAAGCCGAACTACCTGACGCATGACCTAGAGATAGGGGCGGTTGTCTTCACCCTTAAGATTTGGCGATATTACCTCTATGGGGTCTGGTGTACCATTTACATGGACCACAAGATTTTGAGGTACCTAATGGATTAGTCGAATCTAAACATGATACAACGTCGGTGCCTAGATGTGGTGAAGGATTACGATTGTGAGATCCTCTACCACCCGGGGAAGGCCAATGTTGTGGTCGATGCGCTTAGTCGCAAGAGAACCCTGATCAGAGACATTTTCTTGAGGATGATGGTTTTGACTCTGCTATTGGAGCAGATCTGAGAGGCATAGGTCGAGGGTTTGAAGGAGGAGCACCGGAAATGTGAGCGGATCATAGGCCAGGTGGCCTCATTTGATTATGACAACCGTGGGCTGTTGTACCTGCATGGGAGGGTCTGGGTGTCGTACTGGGGCGGAGTACGTCTGGTTTTGATGGATGACACCCACAAATCTAGGTTTTCTATCCATCCCGAGGCGACGAAGATGTACAGAGATCTTCGTCCCAACTATTGGTGGCCTTCCATGAAGTAGGATGTGGCCTAGTATGTTGAGAGATGTCTGGCTATTGGTGGCCCTGAATGAAGCAGGATGTAGCCATTGGACATCCCCATGTGGAAATGGGAAGATATTACCATGGATTTCATCACCAAGATTCTGAGTGGATTCCATATGGGTCATCATGGATCGGTTGACCAAGAGTACCCATTTTATACCGATCCAGGAGAGTATTTCAGCCGAGAAGCTGGACGACATCTACATTTGAGAGGTTATAGCCTGAAACAGAGTCCCATTCTTCGTGATTTTAGACAGGTATGTTCGATCTACTTCCAAATTCTAGAAGAAAGTTGGGCACCCGTCTGCACTTTAGAACCGCTTTTCACCCTCAAACAGATGGTCAGAGCAAGAGGACCATTCAGACCTTGGAGGATATGTTGTGGGTATGCATTTTAGACTTTGGTGGTAGCTGGGATACCTACCTTCCTTTGGCAGTGTTTTCCTACAACAATAGCTACCACCCAAGTATCGACCATCCTCCCTACAAGATGTTATATGGGAGGGACTGCAGGACCCCAATATGCTAGGGTGAGGTTGGGCAGAGGGTCATGGGGAGTACCGAAGTGGTACTCAAGACGACATAGAGGATCCAACAGGTTCGAAGCAGGATTCCGATTGTTTAGAGTCATCATAGAAGTTATGCGGACAAGCATCATTCGGGCGTGGAGTTCCAGGTCAGAGATATGGTCCTCCTAAAGGTGTCACATTGGAAAAGTGTCATTCGATTCAGGAAGCGGGGCAAGTCGGGCCCCCGATACATTAGGCCTTTCAGGGTTGCAGCCTAGGTGGGTAAGGTGACATATAGGCTTGACCTGCTAGCTGAACTTAGCCAGATTGATAGCACCTTTCACGTCTTCCAGCTACAAAAGTGTATGGTAGATGATTCAACAGTGGTACCTTTAGAGGATATTCACGTGGATAACAGCCTAAACTACATCGAGCGGCCAATAGCTATCCTCGACAGGAAGTCAAAGGACTTGGGGAACAAGACGATTAAGCTGGTGAAGGCGGAGTAGCAGCACCGCAAGGGCTACGAATGGACTTCGGAGCCAGAGGACGAGATGAGGGAGAACTACCTCAAGTTTTTTCCAGATGCAGTGGTAGATTTCGGGGATGAAGTCTAGAATAAGTGGGGGACATTTGTAGCGCCCGATTCCTGGTATGTAATTTTGATTTAAACTTTTGCACAATTGTTCTGGGACTCAGTGAGTTGGAGGCCCCAACTCATCGAGTAGAGGTTGGATTTGGATGTAGGTTGAAGAACCTACTCACCAGGTCTGATGCCCCGACTCAACAGGTAGGCTAGTCTGGATGAAACCCTAATTTTAAGGGTTTCCACCTTATTTAAACAACTTACCAGTCCAGTTGTGGCCTCACTTATCGTCTCCTTATGTCTATAAAACCCTAAATCAAAACCCTAACCTTGTTTGAGTGTTCTTGAGCCATTTTTGTGTGTTTGTGGTGGTTGTGAAGCTTGAGAATGAAGAAGGAGCTTGGGAGGTCAAGTGGAAGTGAGTAGATCTGAAGGTTGTGCCCCATTTCTAGTTTATTGGAGGTAAAAAGCTTCAACCTTGACCATCTATCTCTTAAATCTCTAGTTAGGGCTTATTTCTACACTTTCTAAGCTTTTATAGGGTCATACTTGGGATTTTGTGGTTCTTTGAAGGTCTAACTTTAAATCTGGAACCATTGAGGGTCCTTATGGCATAAATGTTCCAAATTTATTGCCATATGCACTCCATGCATCTTGTAGACTCCATCTTAGGGCCATTTAGGCCAAATACCCCATGTATGGACATCAAGATTGGAACTTTACGTGTATTATGGACCCTAGGAGGTCAGATCTATGTTATGGATGCATTGAGACCAACTGAAATAGAGTGTATAGTTTTGGACATAGAAAGACTCGGTCAGTTACTCATATGACTCGGAGAGCCCGGTTGTATTTCCCACCAAATCCCTTCTGATATTGGACCATGTGTTAAGTTAGAAGAGCACTCAGCCTTTTGGGCTCATTAAGGACCTAGAAATCATGGGACTCAGTGAGTGTGTGAACTAACTCGGTGCGATCAAGGCTATGTCCCATGAATAAGAAGATGGACTCGGGAGTCAAGGAAGAACTCGACAAGTCCAACACCAAGAGAACCACCTTACATGAAGATGAAATCGATGAGTTCGCGAGGAAATCTACAAGTCAAGGATTAAACGTTCCAACTAGCATGAAGCTGGGCTCAGCATGTCCAAGGATGAACTCACCGAGTCACTTGTAAAGCGCCCTGATTCTGTATCCTGGAACTCAACGAATTGACCGAAATTTGACTTTGACCAGGGTGTTGACCTTGACATTGACTTTGACCTAAGTTGACCATGAAATGGTAACTAGGGAAGATGATTATGTGTAGTATTAGAGAGGAGTTGATCCCATCACCAAGGACAATTCAGACACTTCACGACACTGAGGCGAGTTACCTTCGAGTAGAAGTGGGTCTAAGGCACCATGGTCGGACCACTAGTAAGAGTTATAGTAGAGATAATTTTCTTTGTGATAATTATCTGGTATGTTGCTATCTGATATTATTATGTGCTAGTATGATATGATGCTATGTGATACTGGAAGTAGGGGGAATAGTCCTCATATCTGATCTATAGAATCAAGGGATAGGTTAGGCACCCCGATATGCCTAACATTATGATTATATTATGCTTTATGTGGTAGTAGTAGGGATGAAATAGTCCCCATAACCGGTTGAGATAAACCAGAGGGGTAGGTCGGACACCCCGATATGTATGACAGGGGTAGATTAGGCACCCCGGTATGCTTAATAGGGGTAGGTTGAGCACCCAGGTATGCTCAGAAGGGTAGGCCGGTCACCCAGATATGCCTGGCAGTATGTGTTATGTATGGTACATGGTATGATGGGGGAAATCAGCATGCTTCGTGCTTACAGTTTTCAATTTTAGTTTCAGGTACCTCTTCAGCGAAGGGGAACGAGCCGGCATGGTAGCTGCGCGTCACACACACACAATATTCCGCATTTTGAGATTGATGGGATTGTACTCTGATTATATTACAATTCGATGTTATGATTTTGAGACATGCTACTAGAAAACAACCCTTTAATGACGTGCAAACAATGACACTCGCTGATAGAGGACGCACATTTGTGCGTGCCCTAAAAATAATGTCAGTTTTGCAAAATTTGAAGGATAGAGGACACAAATTTGTGCATGCCCTAAAAGTAGTGTCCAACAAAAAAAATTAAAATCACAGAGGGCACCTATAATAAAAAAGCACGTCCTGTAAATGTGTCGCTTTATATTTTTTTAAGGAAGGCGCGATCTATGATTTTTAATAGCCAATGGGGGGAAATGAAATCCCAAAAAATTAAACACCCCGCCTCTAAAATCCTCTACCAAAAAACCCTAATAATCGTTTAACCAGTTCGTCTTCCTCTACCTCTACACACACACACTCTCTCTCTCTCTCTCTCTCTCTCTCTCTCTCTCCCCTTTTTGAATCAGATTCTTGCAAGATAGAAACCCTAATTGTAGCCCTAATTACAACATGTCTTACCAACTGTGATCTTCAAATCAAAACGAAAGTGATGACCACCATGACAACCGTCAGCTATAAAACCCTTACCAAGATCTTATAGAGTCCCCACACAAATCCTGTATAAACTTCCCACATCTCCTGAATACCTCTTTCAAGAGGAATCCATCGCTCAATGGTGTTCATGGGGCAAAAACTTGACATACTACACCATCATCGGTTACCTCAGCGATGTTGTAGTTGGCATCGGGAAAGGTTTAGTAGAGGGCATGAAGGATTCTGAGGCTAGAGACACCATAAAACTTATGGTTATTTGGAATGAAATGCGTGGTGGCTGGATTAGCGGCTGGATCGTGGTGGGTGGATTAGTGACTAGAGCACTTTACAAGACGACGGCGGGCCCTAGGTCGGTGGCTGTTGCCGGAGCTATTGGTGGAATAGCGGTGGGATTACCCGTGACGGGGAAGTAGATTTTGAAGAGATACATACTAATATGATCTTGATATGTATTCAATTTCATCTTATTACAAGTTTCGGTCTTTTGAGATCTCCAAAGGTGATTCTTCTATAGTCTTTTATAATATTTTAGTATTTTACAATATTTTAGATGATTGGCATAATTTGGCATGGAATGAAATGTGTGATTTTGTTTGTGCACTTGATAGTTGAAACCCTTTATGTTGTGTACTTTATAAGTGACTGAAAGGGTTTAGTCACAAATAAATCATTGTAGACTTTGATATGGGAATTGTATCAACACATGTTTCTGTGGCTTTATTGGTTGATGAATATTTGTTCAAGTGAGAACACAAATTGAATATTTGGTTGATGAATATTTGTGATGTTTGATTATTGCAGATACAGGGGCTGTAATGCTTTAAATTAATCATGTCCTGATTGTTGTGACTACAAAACACGAAGTTTAAACTTATGTGGTGTTGGTGAGCCTGTGAGAGGAACAATATGCCCAAATTGCCCTTGTTGTAATGGTCGTCTTGTGAGACAGGTTGGTTTTCATCTCAAAAACACTATTTTTGTCATTACCTTTCATAAAAAACTGAAATTTTAATTTTTGACTAGTATTCGGAGGCTTATGTGAACAAGCAACTCTCTTACTTATGTTATCTTCTGGATGTTGATCGTTGCATTAACAAGGTTATTTTTGTCATTAGTTAAACTTTTGAGATATTGATACGAATTGTTTTATAATTAGTTAACATGCCTTGTAAGACTACTAGACATGATTTTTATTACAGTTCAAAAGAGGAGTTAGTGAATTCACCTAGAAAAGCTTAAAAGTCTTAATATTTAAGTTAAAAAGGAGTCGGTTTGACGTCAAAGTCCAAGTTTAGCTCTTTCCTTTTCATTATTCTCATGTTTTCTCTAGATTTCATGTTATCTTTACTTGTTTTCATAAATTCAAATGGAAACTCCTATATGCACTTTTTTATCCATTCCTATATGAATTCTAGATTATCCGATGAAAAATTAGAATTAGGTTAAATAATACTATAAGTAGAACCCCATTAAGCATACATCAATACAAGGTCTTTTTTAACACCTAAACATATTCAATTTCGTAAGTATTATTTATTACATTAATGCTTTTAATATGTTCTTTAGTTGCTAAAACCATCAGTTCTCATTGGTCGATTGGTTAATACCCACCAATATCTCCTAGCACTAAGGATATCAGATTATCTTGGAATGAACCAATTAAGTTTTATGTATTGTGTGTACTAAGTCTACCTAGTTTTGTTTCTCTTCAAGTAGAAGCAAGTTATTGGCTAGCCTTTGGTATTTAAATCCCTAAAATCAGTAACATTATGTTGATTTGTGTTTACACTTAGCTCTCAACCACTTGCACCTTTTTTTGTGTATTTTGAGATAACTGCTTGCTGCCCTTTTGGGATTAAAAGCCTCCAAATCATTCTTTACTAAATTTGCTGATTCAATTACATGTGCCCCATGGTATTCTTTGACTCTACTCCATTGGATGAATTCTGACAAGGGTAAGAGTTCTTTGGTAACTAAATTCAATTAATTAATTTTCACCCTTTTGGTAACATATTTACTATCTTCTGTCAGGCCTCATCTGATGTAATTGTGATTGATTTTGACATACCCTTTGAGTTTGTGTATTCGATTGCTACTGGTATTGAACTACTTGATATGATTTTCATTATGGCCTCAGTGACATGGAAAGTTCGTATTGTAGCCATCTTTGGTATCGTGGCTTCAAAATACATTCAGGTGAATACTTTATATCTTTTTTTTTTGCAATATATAAAAGATGAAGTCTCTATTAACATTATTACATCTTGTTGAGAATCACAGGGATATTATCAGCCAACTACAAGGGAACTAATAGGAATCAACGGAACCACAAAAGCACCTGTGATGAATTACGCATCTGAAACGTCTCTTGGAGTAGCAACAATACGAGCATTCAAGATGCAAGATAGGTTCTTTAAGGACTATATGAGGCTAGTGGATACAGATGCAAGTACTTTCATTTTCTCAAATGCAACCTTTGAATGGTTGGTTTTGAGAAAAGAAGCCTTTTCGAACCTGACCTTGTTCACTACTACTTTTCTCCTGGTTTTCATACCAAAGGGTTTTGTGTCTCCAGGTGATTTCCATTTCCCACTTTTCTTCATATTCATTTGACGACAACATTACATATATATTAACTCGATAGTTGAATATTTGTACAGGTTTGGTTGGGCTATCTCGTTCTTATGCAATGACACTGACGGGTACCTAAGTGTTCTTGACTAGATGGTATTGTAGCTTGGCCAATTATGTGATTTTAGTATAATGGATCAAACAGATCATGAACATTTCATCAGAGCTACCAACAATTGTGGAGGACAATAGACCACCCTCATCTTGGCCTTCTAAGGGACGAATACAGTTCCAGGATCTAAAGGTAAAAATAATAGCCTAACTTTCAGTCCTACTAATAAAGAAATAAATGCATCTATTAAAGAATTGTGTCAAGACTCAAGAGTATGGTGCCACTACTTTCCAAAATACAATACTACATAGATATCTTAACTAGTGTATTAGTGACTCAATTGTTGCATTTTCTTAGATGTAGTAGATTTGACCAGTAGATGGACATGGGTTATATTTGTTATTTAGTTTATAACGGGTCAAATAAAAAGTTGTCATACGGGTTATGGGTCGAAAGTTTCCAATGCATGTATTGGTTGAGCATGCTTATCGCTAAGCTATATATATATCGAGCCATGTGTGATTGAATCTGTAGTTCGTTCACTTGGGTGTAAAATTGCTGAAGGAAAGTTAGCAGTTAAAATTGCTTTTTGAGTTATCAAGAAATGAAGCTTTAAGAAATCACATTGGAAATTTTTAGGGATGCATTCTACTTTTGGTCACCATGTCCAACAGTGAAGACACTCAAGCTGCCATTAATTCACATAATCATTATTCTTACTAATACTTGGTTTCTTAATGAACTTTTGTTAACTTCACTGAATCATTATTCTTACTAATACTTGGTTTCTTAATTAACTTGATGCAACTCTTATTAGCGGACTAACACTAGGCCTCATATACCCTAGTCTTGGATGCGTTGCTCACAAATATCATGTAGCAAACCAATTCCTTCAGATCTTAAAAGAGAAACCTTCTGTTTTTAGTATGATAATATGAATAATATTTTTGATTTTGTTGTGTTTAGTCTTGAGAAGGATTATGTGATTGATTAGTTGACATTTATATTTATTTCTTTTCTTGTATTAGGTACAAAGTATGATTTGGATTATAAATCTCCTAATAGATCAGGACAAAACTTCAAGTGAAGAGAAGATATGGTTGAGATGTTGAAGAAGGTTAGCACCATGTTTTGAAAAATAAGTCGTAAAATTGTCTTGAGTATTTAATGGTGGTTGATGGTTTTGTTTTGTTGATGGAGTTTAACAATGGAAAGATAGTTTTCAATAGCAAATTCAGTACTTTCTTGTGTATAAGTTCTATTAGAAGACAAACATATTTTTGGAACGATACGCAAAAATGTGTGTCATCTTCATTTATGACATGGCCTTTCTTGATAGCGGCTTTAATGATACGCATTGCGTGTCATAAATGCACGTAATCTATAGAGGATGCGCAAAAGTGCATCGTCTCTCGTTATGACAGGGCCTTCCTTGACGCACATTTGTGCGTCGTCTGAGCGTTTTACGACGCGCAATGAGCGTCGTAAAAGGCTGTTTTTCTAGTCGCTTATTATGGTTTTATGTATTGATATGATAACAATGATGTTTTTCAGTAATATGTTTTATAAGTAACGTAATTAAAATGAAACTTTTGGTCTTGAAAATTGGGATGTTATACACTTCATATCATATTCTAGTTTTTGAACTTTCCCAATTAGCTTGGTCAAACTCACCTAAAGGTCAGTATTCTTCACTGCAAACACTCTAAGATCACATTTTAATTTCTGAACGCCCAACTCTAACATGACGATCTTATCCACATGCCCAATATTTTCTAACTCTAATGAAGCCACCTTAATATACAAAAGAGAAATATATCCCTCTAGAAGATGATTATCGACCAACTTATTTTCCAAAGTAACTTTCCCTTCTTGTAACAACCTCAAATCACGCCTCACATTTTCTAACTTCGATTCAAGAACCATCGTAACACTAGAACCCACCCTTTAAAATTCAACAACTTTCTTTGGTTGCTCCATAAATCGATCAAAAAACAATTGAATATTATGAAATAACCTTGTTGATGGAGTAATGAATGGATTCACAAGCTTAGTTAACTTTATAAACTCATTACACAAATCCCAATTTTTCCGATGCAAATCACAATTCTCATCACACGACACTTCTATCTCACACCCTAAAGCCAAGTTCTCCACAAGTTTGACCTTGAACTTGTCTGGAACATATTCCCGTTTCTTCTTCTCTAGACTAAGCCTGGTCTCAAGATAGTTGGTGTTTTCAAAGAAAGACATGGTCGTCTTTGAATCTAGCAAGGTTTCATCTTGTTGATATTCTTATTCAGCTGTAGAGATAGATCCAACTGGATGAGGAACACCTGCGTTCCATGGAGGAGACAAGAAATGCAGTTTCTCGACATACGTGGTGGGCATATTCACACCAAGATGACTTGAAAATGATTGGAAGGTTCTTGTATCCATAGAACAAGACTGTTTTATCACCTGGGCACCACTGTCACTCTCCTTACTAGACAATGTTGTAGCAAAAGCAGTGGAGTTTTCTCATCGTGCTCTGCATCATGATCATCATTACTAAGTAGTATATTACAATCACTCATGATATCATACATTAAGGGGAATTCGAAATCATCCCACGGGATGTCTTGAGCATAAATCTTGCACTCAAGAAAATCACGCAACAAAAAGGGAATTTGAGCATGACTAAAAGGAAAACATGCATAGAAACATCAGAACAGTCAATGAATAAGCATGATAGACTCAACAAGGATGTAAGAACTAAATAGGATACCTCATCCACAAACATACAATGCAGGAGTAGCACCCATAAGAATCCAAAAGGGACTCATGCCCACCTGCCCCAAAATTTTGCTTAGGAAGCTTTTTCATAGCCACACCCAACCTAGATACCTTAGAAATATATTGACCAAGGTTGGGGGTTTAGTTGGGTTTTTGATCATCAATGGTACCATGACAATGAAAAACATTGGGATATGTGAATTGAGAAGCATTAATCTAGATAAATTCAATTTTCCACCCGACGATGGATTTAGGAAGACCCTCTATAAAACTTTTTCATCAAGAACTAAAGTAAAACTAGTTATCACTAATACAAATAGAAAAAAATAGTGGAACAAATTGATGATGGGCACCACAAGTCAGGCATGGCACAATAGTTCAAAATAGATTATCTTAGAAATGGAATTATCTTAGCGTTGATACATGTGAATTATTTAAGCCCCAATAACTTGACCAGATAAAGGAAATGGAGGAATCCCCAAATATGATTAAAAATAGTAAAGATAGCAAGCCCATATTATCGGGAGGCGAACTATCAATTGTAGTAACTGTATCAGGAATGGTGTGACCATCCTCGTCAAAAAGATGATATTTCTTTAAAATCAGGGCTAACCGTTCCTGAGACATTGCCAAAATAAAAACACATATGGTAAATCGAGATAATCTCTGCATTAAAACAGAGAAAAAATTTCATAAGTGGAGTAGCTAGAAAGAGATGAAGGAACAAATGATGTGATGTACATTCATATGGGAGAAAATGCAGGAGCATCAATCTCTAATGAACCAAAAGCCATAGCATTTACGCGACTGTACAAGCACATATAACCAATGTCAGACGGTTTTGTTGTGTGACAACAAAACAAGTTAAGCACTTCAGAAAAATATCGAAACAAACTTCGGTGAACACATGAAAAACTTCTAAAAAATGTGAATAAAAAAACAATATTTAATGTGGTTCGATTAAGGTGACCTACATCAACGAGAGAATATGAGTGAGAGAGAGAGAGAGAGACAGAGAGAGAGAGAGAGAGAGAGATTATTTTATTAACTTTTTGGAACTATTACAAGCACTCAAAATTGTATCTCACTTCTAGCTTTCATAAAATCTAGCAATTTATAATGATGATAATATGAGACTATATATAGACAAGTACGTGAAACCCTATTTTTGATGGGCCATGCCCATCCATAATTAGAATATTTTAGGGGATGCCCTAATTTCTAACTAATAACCGACTAGCATGTAGACACTTCTAGAACCTTCAACCTCATGAGCATCAACCATACATATGATGTAGCACCATGAACCATAGTGAAGCATCTCAATAGTGACTCATCATATATCATGGCAGCACAACATGGTGTATTCATTGAATATACCAACTTTTGAGCATCATAGAAGACTTTCTAGCATATATAGATCATCATGGCACATCCAACCCCAAGATGGCACAACATCTTCCCTCATGGTGCAACTTTATCCCTTATGCAACAACTTCACTTATGGCTTAAGATCCTTCCTCTTGGCATAAATCCCTTCACTATGGCGCAATATGCTCCCATGGATGGTGTAACATCTTCACATGGTGCAACATCCATCAAAAGAAGGTGCAACAAGTTGCTCTTTATTGAGAATAGTGGCCATTACCATAAAAAGCCTGCATCACGTTATGATGACCACATCATGTTATAAAAATAATAGAAACTGAAAGTGATGATTATAAGTCCAGGAGAGTACCTAACTCTAAGCTACTTGAAGACCATGATGAGCGATTTAACAAGAGGAACTTTGTAACTCCTACTTACAAGTTCTATAAATTGTGATGAAAAGTAAAGATTATACAAGGAACATGATGAGGGTGAAAGAAGAAATAAGACTGCAAGAGGTGATAACTTGATGATGGAGGAAATATACTTGGAAGATGTCCTATGGTCAATAAAGGAGGAACACGATTTCATATGATGGGATATCGAAGAATGCAAATTGAAAATCCAAAGAATTGATAGTGCTAACAAGATAAGGAAAAGAATGAACACTTGAAGTTTGATAAAATGAACTATCAAGAAGACAATGATGAGTAAAGGAAAATGTTGAAATTTCTATGGACGAGTTAGAGATACAAACTACTACAGTGTGAGAAGTATGAGTGACACGAACTAAGAATACAAGATTTAGAGATTTCAAGTTTTGCAACCTAGTGACGTAGACCAAGCACACTTAAGTGCAATTAAGTATTAGATAAATGTATTGCTGTTAATCTAGATTCGATAACCATGAAAAGAGACGATAGGCTTATAATATTAAGATATTATGTTATGAACGAGTAAAGAAAATGGAACTTTGACTCAAAGCATTATGGGTCACTTGACTATGATTGAAGGACCCGTAAATTAATTAATATAAAATTTGGTTGTGTATTCATAAGGAAGGGACAAGAAATAGAAAAAAGTAAAGTATGACGTTACTTGAGAAGCTAAACTGACAAAGTGTTGAATGAAACAGCCGACTACTCGATCAAAAATGTTGAAGGACACATAAATCATGAGATTATGATAAATGCTATATGTGGTCAATGGAGAAAGAAAAAGGTAAATTTCGAGGTCCATATGAAGTAAATGTGAGGCAAGAAGTTTCCATGAAGAAATAAATGAAACATCTTGCTACACAATAAGGAGCATCTTGTGATTTACTTTTTAAGAGAAATGCCTTCATTTCTTTTAAATGGTAAATAGTTTGGAAGAATTAAGTTATAGGTGACGAGATCATTTGGACCCAACAAGAGTTTGAAATTTAAGTTGAAACAACTCCATGTGCTTTAGATCTTCTTGCCATGGTATGCTCAGGCTTTCATGCCTAAGAAGTATGTTAACTATTGTAATGATATTTTGATTTGACACGACAGTTAAAGTGTATGAAATGGATATTGATAATGTAGGAAGCATACATGGACATGGACGGTATGGTACATGTTGGTAAAGCATATAAGATTTATAGCGATATACATGGTTGATATGTCTTATAGGTAAATGTAGAAGGATAAAATCATTAGTATGAACGAATTAGAAAGATATCTTCAATGTAAGGTGTCAATATTATGACTTGGAAATTAGACCTATAGAAAAGAAAGTATAAAAACGAGAGGTCATGAAGAGTTACTAAAATATAAGTTAGAAAACCCAACAACTGATTAGTTATGATTATAGAATTAGAAATGAGACAATACATGTACCATAATCTGTGTTTGATAGGCATTCAGGCAAAGTAATGATAATATGTTATGATTTAGACTCTAATACTAGAGAAAGTCGAAAAGGACAAGGTGAAAAGATAGATCAAAAGATAAGTATGAGCAATGACTTACTAATAAAATTAGTAGTCAATGAAATATTGGTGATGTGCTTGTACATGAAGGTCCATGCTTAGGAAATATATAATGTCTAAGTATAGAATGGTCAAATGGTGATTTATGGGTGAGAAGGACCCGATAAGGATTCATACATACCTGGAACATTTTTTGATCATGATAAGATTATATGTATTAGAATTTTCAATATCATTGTCAGTGTAATTTGATAGAAGTTAAAAAAAGGACAAAGGGTAAATTTTTTCAAGAGGGTTAATAACTCCTAACTATGTGTTATTGATTAATAGGCATACTACAATAATGAAAAATGACCAAAGCGGTGTGACGATCAAGGAAATTGAAAAGTCACATGATGAAATTCTAATGTGATGACTCATGCAGTAATTCTGAGAACAAAATCCTTTTAAGGGGTAGATAAATCTAACATCATAAAATTTGAGACTGATTTCTCAAATTAACAAAGTGTATAAAATAAATATGATATGTATAGTTAAAGCAAAAAGGGATAACTATATCATTAGTTATCGCGACACCTGTTGAAACTATCCAAAATATGACCCAAAAATTTTTTGTTTTAATAATACTAACAATCACATCATATATAATAAAACTAGGTAAAGAGCAACTCAAATGTCATAGTACTGTGTCAAACAAATCTATATCAATCATAGCAACATCCAAAATAAACTCCCAGGATAAACGGAAGCTGTGGTGTCTACGATGCCATCAACCCGAGCTCTTCCCTTTGCTTGCAGAAGTACCTGAAACCAAAACTGAAACTGTATGCACAAAGCTTAGTGAGCTGCCCCAGACTACCACATACCATTCAATAACATATAAACATATACTGGCCTCGCCCACTGCATCAGACCGAAGTCCAGAAACTGAATGGGACCAAAGTTCGGAACTAACTAGGGCCTTGCCCTCTATATCGGACCGAAGTCCAGAAACTGCATTGGATCGATGTCAGGAACTGACTACGACCTTATCCCCTGCATCAGACCAAAGTCCGGTACTAACTGCATCGGACCAAAATTCGGAACTGACTGGGACCTTGTCCCCTGCATTAGACTGAAGTCCTGAAGCTGACTAAGCATAACATACCATACCATAAACACATCAACTAGCATCAACACGCATACTACATACTGCATCGGACTGAAGTCTGGAACACATAATACAAAGACACGCTTGAATCACAGAGACATCAAGCACACTAAAGTACTGCATCAGACCAAAGTTCGGAACTACTGCTAACTAACGGGCCGGCATTTTGGCTGTAGACCCGTTCCTACTGGAAGGAAAACTCACCTCGTAGTTCTGACTGCTGAGATGCTAACTCTAAAGGTGGTTGATTGCTACTCCGGAACTGTCTAACTACAATTGCTAGAAACACTACATTAGTTACTGGTACATGATCTAGAGGTCAAATGACTATTTTACCCCTAGTCAAAGTCAACTCCCTTGTCAAATTCAACTTCCAGTTGACCGGACTCGCCGACTTGGGCCATCAACTCGCCGAGTCCCTATCATCCCTTCCAGTCCTCTACCATCTTCTACTTGTCGAGTTTGGAAAAGACTCGACGAGTTCTAATTCGATGCAAACATCAAGTCTAACTTCATCCAACTTGTCGAGTTGCATGAACAACTTGTCGAGTTCCCCTTCAACATATGCACACATCCAGACTGCGACTCGCCGAGTTGAAGAACAACTTGTCGAGTCTG